GAGGCAACACACTAAGAAAAAGTCTAGAAGTCGTCGATCCGCCTATGACATCATAGATAAATGAATTTTCCCCCTAATCCAAATGGGGGAAAGATGTAGTCATACTCCTTCAAAAGTCCTCTGTCGCCGGATGAGAGAAAGATATCAAAAAAGTGCTTCAAAAATTCATCTTTGCTCGCATCATCGATAATGTGATTTTGATATCACTGGAAAAGTTGTCGAAGCCTTAGAGTTATGACGAGACCAAGGATCTGGACAAACTTGTCGAGCATGTGGATGACCGTCTATAATACTACCACATTCATGGGTTGTAAAATGCAAAAATTTTGCATTATCTTTGACTAGATCAACAATGGCTGATTCAAAAATCCCTTCTTGATGGAAGTATAGATTCCTAAACCGACCTAAGGCAAGCTTTCACCGCCCACTTGACCACACGAAATAGGCAACCCACAATCATGGCCATGCTTGGTGGGACTACCCAGGTAAAAAATAAATATTGCATGTGTACATCGATCACTTTAGCAAAGTGGTAGTGGTCGTGGGAGGCTCAAATGAAAGCTTAAAGTGCTAGATTTTGCAAAGAGGCTTAAAGTAATTATCCATGTTCTGAGAGAAACTATGACACAAAGATGTCCATACCCATAAAGACTTACTGAGTTGGTCACAACCTTGCATCATCTATAAGAAAAACTATTGCCCGTGGGGAACAACTATGGACCTAAAAACATGGAATTCATCCACCCATAAAAGAAAGACATTGATCGGCCTACAGAAACACCAACTTCTTTAATGTTTTGAGTTTTTAATGAATCAAATTGGATCATGATAAAAAGTGTCCCTTAAGTTGGTTACTTTTACAAGGCAAATTTGCACCAAAAATTTTCTAAGTGTTAGAAATCACATTTGAATGAAACACCAACTTCATGGCTTCATAACTTGAAATCTAAGCATTTTTTTGGGAATTCCTTCTAGAAAAAAGTTGTGGTGGGGAATAATCTCTTTAAATTAGTCTTTGGAGCAAAGGAAATGGATGTCTAGATTATAAGTTATGGCTTTGGAAAGTTAGCACCAAATTAGGGTTTTTCCATAACTTAGAAAAAATCAATTTCTCTTTTGTTGCCCTTTTTGCAAGTAACATTAATTCTATTGATTTTCCTTGATCAAACTCAATCATCAAACATGTTTCCAATAAATTTTTACTTGAGAAGTTCATACTTGGTCAAAAACCCTAAAGTCAAAGGTTTGACTTTGCAGTGAATGACTTGTGTATCAGATAAAATTTCACTTCTTGATATTCAATGAGTTCAATCCCTTGAGCTATTTGAACACCATGAGAGGACTCTAAGGATGTAATTGAGTGTCTTGAATCATGTCCCAAGGTTTGAGGTCATGTCTTGATCAAAAGTCAAAGATGCAGTTGACTTTGGTTGAAAAATTCTAATTCATGGCCAGATGAATTTGAATATTGAAGAACTTGTAATGAAGTCATTTTTCACTTGATCGTTGATAAACAAAGGTGTCTTGAGTGTATGAGAACTTTATTGATTGATGATCTATCCAAAACCTAGACTGACCAATCCCTTAAGCCTTTTAGATCAAACCTTAATTCACATATGAAACAAACAAAGCCATATCTTGATAATTGGTTAGATATCCATGAATGATTAACCTATGATGTTATGCAAATGATGATGAGATCTAGGGGAAATTTTTGGGGTATGATACACATGTTATTCGTTGCTGATTTACTTTATTTTATTGCTTTTATGTTATGTCTTGTTTGTTTTGCAAGTTTTAATAAGTGCTAGAGCAATTTCGTGAAGAATTCAAAGAGGGAGCATAAGAGCAGAAAAATGACCTTTCTGGTGCATGGTATTCGCCATTACCCTAATGGTGTCCACCGTGTGCCATGTACATGTCATTTAATGAAGCGCACAATGGCGTTCGCTATTGTCCTAATGGCGTCCGCCATTCTTATGCAGAACTAGAAAATCGTGGAGTCAGTTTATACTCCCTCTCCCCACTTCCCTTTTTCTTCTTAACTTCTCTGCATGTTTGAGGGAGTTACCAAACCATTCGGGCATCTATATATAGCAGTTTCCTTCATATTCCAGAGCATCCAAGTCATGTGAAAGCTCTGTCAAATTGCTTTCTAGTCTTAGGCAGAAAAATACTTGTAAAAATGTCAATCACTCACATCAGGGAATTGTCACATAAACTTGTTCTTTTTATTTCTTTGTACTCTTAGATCAAGCAACAAGTCTGCCGACATTTTAATTAAGTTTTACGTTCGTTAATTTAAGTTTCGCTTTGTTTATTACTTTACAGGTTTTTAATCGCTTTAATTTAATTATTGTCGTATTGCTTTATTCTTATTTATGCCATGTTGTCCTTGAATTTAATTACTGCTTTTATGTTGTTTCCATTTGAAATAATGTTTGGCTAAATTTGTCTGAGACCGACGTATGAGGATCGTCGTTATCGACGAGACTCGGTAGAAAATAATTGACACGAAATATTAAATAAATTTTGTTTTGGTTTTAGTTTCCAAGTGTATGTCTTAATATTTTGTCACGAGAGTGAAAAGCAAACTAAGGTTCGAATCGATAGCGCGAGAGTGTGAGAATTGAACCTGATAGTGGAAACTAGACATCGATTATAAAAACAGCGAGAGCGCTTTAGGTATTGATTAAGATCTAATTGATTTTCAAAATACGGTTTCTAATTAAAATGAGCGAGCGAGAGCAAAATCTCATGGTTAGAAAGTGTGACTTTAGTCAATAGCGCGAGAGTGTGAGGCAGAGTCTTTAAACCAATATTTTTTACGGAACACAGTTTAATTATAATTAGTGCCTAAAATCTACAGAGTCCTTTAGGAACGCGAAATCCATATTCCGACATCTTTTTATGATGATTTCCAAACCTTTAGTAAATTACGTTTTTATTCCCGTCCAAATCTTTTTAACCTTTAATCTTAACTTTACATAGCATCAATCGATAACAGTAGATTGATTATTAGTCCCCGTGGGTTCGATATTTTTTAAAACTATGTGATAAACTGTATATTTACAGTTAGATTCCGATAGACTCGTAAGATCGCAATCAATTTTTTAAACCTAGTCCTCCCTTTCCCTACACACCATGTTCCGATGCACCCAGCTAACTTTTCTACTATCCACTCCCTCATCCCATAAATAAATAAAAAGATTCAAGAATAATGATAATACTAGATAATGTCTTGAAGAAGGAAAGGAAATAGACAGGTAACACATAGAGAACTGATTTTAAGAGCACTATACGTCCACCAATGGATAAATGTCTATTATTCCATTTAGACAATCTCTTTGACACTGTCTCTATCACCAGTTTCCAAAATTCCTTTCTTCTATAGTTACCTTCCATAGGGATACCAAAATATTTAAACGGCAAAGATTCGACTTTACAATTCAAAACTTGTGCCGCTTCCTCCAACCAAATATGCGAAACATTTATCCCTGCCAATAGACTTTTGTGAAAGTTCACCTTCAATTTGATATCATTTCGAACAGTTGTAAATTTGTCTTGATGCTTCTCACATTTTTCCAACACTTTTTCCCACTATTAACGTATCATCTGCGTATTGAAGGTGTGACACGTTTACTTCTCCATTTCCAAATTCGTACCCTTCGAAACTATTTAATTGAGCACTTTTTGACATCATTATATTAAACCATTATGCAGCTTCAGAAATAGAAAAGGCGATAAAAGATTGTCTTGCCTCAAGCCTCTACCGACTCTGAATTTTGTAGTGGAGATACCACTCACTAGAATAGAAATCCTAGTACTCCAAATGCATTCTGAGATCCAGCCTCTCCATTTGATATTAGATCCTATTTTCTCCATCACATAATCCAAGTATTTCCAATCCACCAAGTCATACGCCTTTTCGAAATCTACTTAAACAACATCGTCTCTCTTTTTCTTCTTTTTGCATCATCCACTAATTCATTTGCCACCAAAATACCATCCATCATCTGACGACTTTCAACAAAGGAACATTGTGATTCTGAGATTACTTTTTTAATCACCCGCTTCAGTCTATTTGCCAATAACTTCAATTAGGGTGATTGGCCTGAAATCGCTGAGTTTCGTCGGATTCTCTATTTTCGAAATTAGCGTTTGCAATTACATTACCGACTTCGATCGACTTGGACCATATTTCTATGCAACCCAAGGCTAAGGAAGGAGCTTTGCTTTTTACACCGCTTTCCACTTTTTTTGCCAGCTGCTCCTATAATTAAGTCTAATTAGTCTCTCCAGATATTTGAAAAGGCTGAAGTAAATGACAATAGAAAGAAGCTTAATGCAGCATACAACGGTCAAGAAGAGTAGTTACTCATCTTCATTGCGGTTAGACCCCACACTCAAGGAACAAACTGTCAGTTCTCTCCACATGTGACCTTGATGGTTATGAATTTTCTTGTTGAAGGGTTCACGTGAATTTCAAGCATTTGGTTAATAACTCGAATTAAAATTTTGAAACCACATTTATGTCTTACCTATATGTAAATAAATTTGTATTCTCTTTATTAACACATTTAAAACATATGTATGACTTTCTACAGAGTTACAATGAATCAAAACTTGAATTTGTGTTCATTGCTATATCTAGAGAAATTTCACACTGAATCAAAACTTGAATTTGTGTTCATTGCTATATCTAGAGAAATTTCACACTGCAGCCTAGTAATAGCTTCCAGTCAACTATATTTCCTTAACTGAGTACCTAAATAACAAAATAAATTGAGTACCTATAGACTGTTTGGCTCTCTTCAATTTCTGTTCTTTTAGGAGTATTGGTTATCGCCAACCAAAGACATTGAAAATCATCATCTTAACCAACCCAAAGACTAACCAAAAATTTGAATCTATATAATAAAGCCATGTCATTAAACCACATAGGCAGAGGCCGTAACAATATTTGGGTGTCTTAGTCAAATTCACATTTTTAAATGCTATCATACAACTTCTTTAAACTTCAAAGCAGCCTCGGCATCGAGTGGAAAAGTAAATAGACAAGTTTCAGGAACATGGTACGGGATATGTCTTGCCGTGTCTTCCCACCAAATACTCCTAATCTCTTTCTCATTGAGCTCTTGTGTGGCATATTCTAAGGCAGACTCCAACTCTATTATCCGTTCTTGAAGCCTTGCCTCAAGTAGTTCATGCAACCTTCTCTCCAATTCAACCGGAGGGACTCCAACTGAAATATCACAACTTGCTTCTTGATGTTCCATTATTATTTCACCAAAACCTGAACTCTCGCTTTTTGAACTAGAGTCTTTAACAACAACCTGCCAATTCATGCTTTCAGCCATTCTAGAATGTAACAAAAACCAAAAACAAAGCAAAATACATAAAATCTAATCAGCTAAGTTCCTAACAACTTACACAGGAACATCTTAAAGATTGTAGTAAGCACATAGGCAAAATTATCACTTAGTGTCGCATCGTCTATCAAATTCAGGAAATGAATAGAAACATGACAAGTCAAACTTGAAACAATTTACCTCAACTCTTTCTTGTTGTGCATCTTCTCCATCCAAATACAGCTGCAACCGTTGTAACTCATATTCAAATTCCGCCTGAAGCTCATTAATTTCTTCTGCACATTCACCTTGTTCACAAATATCATAGTCTAGAAAACCATCACAGCCCGTGTTGCTTTTCATCTCTGCCCGACCATCCGATTTTTCTGAACCAACTGAAAGGTGACTATTAGAGCAGGAAACTTGTTGAAAATCAGTGACGGAAACTTCTGCAAGAGCATCATCACATTGTTTCAATCGGTTAAGAATTGCATCTTCACTTTGAAGTTCACCTTTCATGTTTTGAAGGATTATTCCCATTTCTTTCCGCAACTCAACCATCTTGCTAAGCTCGTTTTTAGTTGCTGCAATCACATATAGCAACCCACAACCAACTCCTAGCTTAAAAGATGTATCATTCCAATCTAACTGTCCTGTAGAACACCAACAACATTATAAAATTAACTGCAAAACAAAGCCAATGATAATAATAATAAAAAAAAAAAAAGTGGAAACATTTAAACAAATTCTCAAATTCACATAGGAATTAGGTATCAATTGAATTGAAATTCTCAAATTAATCAATCAAAATTCAAATAGACAGAAAAACTCACTTGATTCCTCTTCGTTGCCTTTCAATTCAATCGTTATCGGAGTGGACGGCATCTTCTCTCGGCCTTTCAGAATCCGTCGTTCTTTAGTTGGCCTCAGCGCCGCCAGAAAAGAAGCAAGAAGCCGCCGAGGCGAAAAGCATTTGATCGAACGATGAGAAAAATATGGCGGTTTTTTATGAACGCCGTCCATGGGGTTAACGGCGGCGTCGTTGGCGAGAATGTCCGCAAGGCGTAAAGGACGGTTATGGGAATATTGAGGGAAGTGAGAGTGATTGGAATTGGGGGATTTAAAGAAAAGGCAATTCATAGATCGTACGGATATATTGAAAGATTGAAGGAACAGAGAGTATTAAATTTTATTGAATTATGATTATGATGATGATAGTGATCGATTCGGTTCAACTTCAAAAGGCTGTGTAGGAGAGGAACTTTTTGTTTTTGGAGGGAACTTTATGGTTCTTTCCTCTTTCTTGTACAAATATATTTTTCTTTATTTTCTGATTGTTTTTAGTACGATTTTTTGTTTGTTTGACTAACACTAAAGGATTGGGACTTGAAAGCACACACTAAGCATGATTTAAGGGTTATTTGATTTTTTTTTTAATAAAAAACTTCGGAAATAATTAAGTAATATACCAGTAGAATAATAAGGAGATTGATAATTTTATTTTGTGCTCGCCCACAGTATAACACCAACACATAAGAATTTGATTTGACTTCAAAAGAATAATAATTTTATTTTGTGATATCAATAAATTGTTCATTTTATTTTATTATATTTTTAAATAGTATTAAATTGGAGTATTTCTTTTTTGTCTTATAGATTTCTTTTATACCATGTGAATTTTTACCTATGCTCTTTGATTCTAGAGATATATTTTTGGATGTATCAAAATTAATTGAACATTAAAATATTTCGGATATATATTTTTGGACGCTCCAAAACTAAAGTGAATATTGAAATATTCTGGAGATATATCTTCAAAACATTTTGGAGCATATTAACGCGTCAGACTCTTCTCCTCCATCACTTTTCATTTTCATTCACGAACTCTTAAATTCTCTCAATCCCGAATTTCTCCAACTCCACCAAACCATATTTCAACAATAGAAGGCTTCAAATAAACATCAAGCATCATCCATTTCATAATTCAACATCTTCCAAATCATAAATTTCGAGTAAGTTTTTCGAGTTTTGTTGTTAATGAGTTAGAATCAATTGTTAGGTGTAAAAATATTTAGAAATCACATGAAACATAGTTTAGAGTAAGTGTATGTATTGTTTGTTGGTATAAATGGACGATCAAAGTTGTATTAGGCACATTTTGAATAGCAGAGGATGCCATTGTCGTGACCTCTGAATTCCAGAAATTTTTGGAGATACATCTCTAAAAAGTTCAACGTTTTATATACTTTATGAAATTTCGGAGATACATCTCTTAAATGTTTACATAGATATACCTCCGGAATTTCCTCAGTATATTTTTCTTTTTCTTTTAATTTTCTTGTTTATGTTGTTCTTTTGCGTAAACTAATCATATGGCTAATTTTACATTACATGCATAATGGCTGACATAGTCAACAGACTGAGACTTGGACGGGTTTCCCAACACGCATTCGTTCGACAGACGTCTGCCAACAGGTTTCGAAGGGTACATGTACTTCTGTTTTGGCAGAGGAGTTGACTTCTGGGGCGCAGTCTACTCCTGGGGCTCGACCTTCACCTCAAGCCCTCCATCTACATCTCAGGCCACTTCATCTCAAGTTATTCCATCTTCATCTCGGGCCATTTTATATTCTTATTATTATTTTTCTTCTTCTTCCCGGAGGAGACGGGATGCACCAACTGATGCGTCACTTCGCTCATCCTCTCGCAGGCGTCGGGATGCACATGTGCCACCTTCTGCTGATTTAGTGCCACCTCCCGCTGATGATCCTGCGGATCAAGTGCCACCTCTGGAGGGTGAGGTTACTGAGGATGTCGACCAGAGGGATTCGGAGGAGGTTCATCTGGTATGTCCCTACTTCCTCTATATTCGACCACACTGTCAGACATATTTAGGAGAGAGAGGTAACATTAGTCTGATTTTTTATTTATTTTTTACATTAATTTAAATTGCTAACAATGATTATTTATAACATTGATTATTACTAACATTGGTTATTTGTGGATAACCGCAGATGTGTGATCCCCATAAGTTTATTAACCATGTGAGGAAGATTTTAGCATTGCATCAGCCGGAAGACTAGTGATTTCAGTCGGTTCTGACTGCTTCTGAGTTGCGTGACGTATGCATGATCGGTTACAGTCCGGTCAACCACGGGATGCTTAATGCATTCGTGGAGAGATGGCATTCTGAGACGTCTTCTTTTTGTTTCATGAATGATGAGATGTCAATCATGTTAGAACACAGATTGGTTCTTAATAATATCTCTTTGTTTTGATGATAACTGTTAGGAAATTTTGTATTTAAGAATTATATACTCTAAAATTTGTTTGAGAGTTTTACTGCAGATTGAAATGAAATTAACTCTATAGAAGCAAATCTGAATTGTATACAAGAAGTTATCTTGACTCTGAAGCGCCAGATGCATTCATTAGAAGATTCTGATTGCTGTTTACAGAAGATCCTGAGCGTAGTCTCCAGAAGGATCTGAAGCAAGAAGCTCCAGAAGATTCTGAAGCAGAAGCATCTAAAGCAAGTCAAAAGCATCTGAAGCTAAGAAGAATATTGTATGAAGAGTTTCTCAAAGCATAGTTTCTACAGAAGTTTCTGAAAGTACTAAAGCTACCAAGTACTGAAGTTCTGTGTCAAATATGCTCTGATGATCAACACGCTGAAAGCACACATGCTGCAGAAGACTCTGATACAACAAAGTTCTGAACATCATTAGAAGACTCTGACTCAATTAGATTCTGATGAACTTACTGAAAACTGAAGAATAAATATTCAAGGAATATATCCGTTGGAGTAAATCAAACGCCTCTTTCCTCATTTGTGCTAGACACAAGAACACAGACAAAAAGAATTTTTCTGTGCTTTCTACTTCTAGGAAAGGTCACTTGATGTGAAGACAAAAAGGCTCAGACCTTTTTGGGACTCTCTTCTCAACGTTCAGCTTCCTTGTATCAGCTGCCTATAAAAGGAAGACTCCACCAAATTCTTCAGTTAGACATTTTGCTGAAAAGAAATCATAACATTCAAAGCTCTCATTCTTTCATATTCATTCTTAGAATTATTTGTACTTAAACTTAAGAGAAATATCACTGTTGTGATAAAAGCTTTTTAGAAGCATTCATACTGTTGTATTTAATTTACATTGATTGTAAAAGTTTTTCCTTAAGAGGATTCAGTTGGAATCAGTAGCTCTTGAGAAGACTAAGAACAATTGTTCTTAGGTGTTACTATTGTAATCTGTTTGATTAAATAGTGGATTAAGTCCTTGTTGAGAAAGGCAAATCACTCTAGGAAGGGTGGACTGGAGTAGTTGAGTTCAACGAACCAGGATAAAAATAATTGTGTTTTTATTTCTAAGTTTTAATCTTTCATACTTATTCAACCCCCCTTCTAAGTATTATCTCACCTTCAGTTGGCATCAGAGCTCCGGTTCTGTGTGTGCTACCACTTAACAGTGACAATAAAGATCCAGAGAGAAATACTTTGATATATATTTATTTGTTACAATGACTGATAATACAATATCCAACATTAACAATAAATATGAAGAAAGGGACAAGATCAGCACCAAACCCCCTATGTTTGATGGGGAGAAATTTGATTACTGGAAAGACAGAATTGAGAGTTTTTTTCTAGGATATGATGCTGATCCATGGGATCTAGTCATAGATGGATATGTCCATCCCACAAATGGGAATGGCAAGAAGATAGACAGAAAATCTATGACAGATGCTCAGAAGAAAGATTTTAGAAATCATCACAAAGCCAGGACTATATTATTGAATGCAATTTCCCATACTAAGTATGAAAAAATTACAAACAGGGAAACTGCTTTTGATATGTTTGAATCCCTAAAAATGACTCATGAGGGAAATTCTCAAGTCAAGGAGACAAAAGCTCTGGCTCTGATCCAGAAGTATGAGGCCTTCAAGATGGAAGACTCTGAATCTGTTGAAGCCATGTTCTCCAGGTTTCAGATCCTCACAGTTGGGCTGAAGGTTCTGGACAAGGGATACTCTACATCAGATCATGTAAAGAAAATTATCAGAAGTCTGCCTACCAGATGGAGACCAATGGTGACTGCCTTGAAGATGGCTAAAGATCTGAACAAGATCTCTCTAGAAGAACTCATCATCTCACTGAGGAGCCATGAAATTGAGCTTGAGGAAGATGAACCTCAGAAGAAAGAAAAAGGTAAATCTGTTGCCTTAAAATCTAACAAAACTGCTAAAGCTTTGCAGGTTATTCAAGAAAGCTCTGAAGAATCTTCTTCTGAAGAAGAAGATGAATTATCCATGCTGTCCAGAAGGATCAACAGACTCTGGAAGCACAAGGGAAAGAAGTTCAACAACTTCAGAAGATCTAATAATAGAAAGGAATCTTCTGGGCACAGAAGATCTGGCAAGAAAGAAGTTGTGTGCTATGAGTGCAAAGAACCTGGGCATTACAAGAATGATTGCCCCAAACTTCAAAAAGAAAAACCCAAGAAGAAGTTTAACAAAAAGAAGAAGGTTCTGATGGCAACATGGGATGACTCAGATGAATCTGAATCATCTTCTGAATCAGAAGAAGAATGTGTTAATGTTGCATTGATGGCCAACACAGAAGATCAAGAGGAAGGAACCTCAGGATATGAATCAGATTTTAAATCTGATGATGACGCAGAAGAGGTAATGGCTAAACTTACCAAAGAAGAACTTATAAAAGTTTTAACAGAAGTTCTTAAAAGTTATAACAATATCAAACTCAAATACAAGAAGCTGAAAAGCAATCTTGAATCTGAGATTGATCTTCTGAAGACAGAACTTGTTGAGCAAAAAGAAATTAATCTGAAAATCAAAAATGACTTTGAAATAACTCAACAAGAATCTGAATCTGAGACTAAGTCATGTGAAAATATTTTAGAAAAATATGACTCTAGCTTTCAGAGATTTCTTACTAAGAGCATAGACAGAAGCAAGATGGCTTCTATGATCTATGGTGTTCAGAAATAATTCAGCAGAAATGATGTATGGGATCTAGTTCAGAGACCCCAAGGATTCAATATAATTGGTACAAAATGGGTCTTCAGAAATAAGCTAAATGAGAAAGGAGAAGTTGAGAGGAATAAGGCAAGGCTGCTTGCTCA